TTGGAGGTCGCTTTCGAATTCAAATTGACGCGCTGGGTCGAAGGCGCCGCCTGGCGGCGTGTGCCGATCTCTGGCGGTAACTCTCCGCGCGACCGTCTTCATTATTCTTCCACTGACGAGTCTGTGAACGAGTTCGTGCTTCCATCCGCTTTTTGTGATCTTTTGTGCTACCATTATGGCCAGCTCTTCGTCGCCCCACCGCGTCTCCCGGCCCCAGGGGCACCCCTATCACCATACCCCCCTGGGGGTGGTGTACAGCCTTTTGCTCGAGGGAGAGCTCAACGACACCGGGCTGTCGCAGCGAGACTGCCAGTTTCTCGCTCGGCACTACTGGTTTGACCTGACCGAGGAGGAACAACGGCCGTTCCGGGCCTACGCCAGGAGTCTCCTGAAGCGGAGGCGGGGCACAGTGCCCAAACCCACCCTGACCCGGCAGTTCCGGTTCAAGCCACCGCGCCTGGGAGCCTTTGTCGGCAGCTATCTGAGGCTGCTGCACGACCTGCAGACAGGGGAGCCCCATGCGCTCACCATTCCCTTGGGCCAGGCCCAGATTCACATCGATCTGCCGCGGCTAAACCCCATCGAGGCCGTCGCCGGCCAGGAGGCACGCCGCGGATATGTGCGGCGACTGATGGAGGATCCGGGACTGGCCTCGGCCAGCGAACGTACCCCCAGGCCCGTCGACCCCGAAAGCGGGGAGCCCATCCTCCCCGAAGGATTTCGGCCCCAGGGGCATTCCTGAGGATATTGAATGTAACATGCTGATGCCATGTTAATATAAATGTGGTTTTTCCTTCGATGTACTGATATGGTTACTCTTGAGTCTTGAGGGTGCGAAAATTGGGTTTGGGCCTTGGTTGTGATTTCTTCTCTTTTCTAGCATAATTTAAAGGGCGAGATCTGGCGTCCCGAGGTTCGGTTGGGGGGTCTCCAGGGGGTAAAGCTTTTTTATAGGCCGATCGAGGATTTGGCCCGTGCCCGTTTTGATCGTGCATGATCGTGCTTTTTCAGGTTCCGAACCGTTTTTCAGAGACATCACCCTACACAAGGGCCAGTAGGCACGATTAGCGTTCGAATCCTCCAGGAGGCAGATGTCTCCAACTTTCAGCGGCCTGGCCGCGATTGGTTTTCGCCTGTGAGCGGATCGAAGCGAGCCAATATATTCTCCTTGGTATCTTCTCCAGAATGAGTTGAGGATTTTTTGTTGGTAGTTCCATCTCCTGGAGAAAACAATTTTATCCGCATCGATCGTTCTGATCGGCCTGGCCGCGTGTTGGGGAAAGAAGCACTTCGCTTTGTGTCCGTAAAGCAGGTCCGCTGGCGACAGAGCCTCGGCGGTGTCGGACTCCGTCGCGACCGCTGTAAGTGGGCGCCTGTTTATCATCGCCTCGATGTTGCTCAGGATGACTTCGAGATCGCGGAAGTGTGGTACTGCGGTACCCAGGGCTTTCCTCAGCGGTCTCTTGACCGACTGCACTTGGCGCTCGTAGAAACCACCGAACCACGGGGCGTTCGGGGTGATGAATTCCCATTTGATGAAGGAGTCCCCGAGCCATCTCTTTATCTCCCCGTTCACGATGTGCTCATAGATCAACTTCAACTCCTTTGCTGCTCGCTGAAAGGAGAGTCCGTTGTCGGAGACGATGGTGTCGACCGATGGATATCTGTTGACGAACTTTTGAAGTGCGCCGAGTACTTCCACTGTGGACATGTTTTCTGTTAGGTGCAGATTGACGGCGCGTGTGACGGCGCAAGTGAAGAGAAGTATGTAACTCTTCCCCTTTTCTCCCGAGTCTTTCTTGTATTTGATGGGCCCCGCGAAGTCGCATCCTGTATAGAAGAACGGCGGAGCCATATCGATTCGAAAGGTTGGCAGCGGGGCTGTAGGTAATGCCGCCGCCTGGCAGCGAAAAATCTTACAGGTGGCGCAGGAAGAGATTACTCGGCGAGCGAGTTTCCTCGCATGTATGACCAGGAAGTCTTCTCTGAGAAGATGTAGAATTGATGCCACGCCTCCGAAGTGGAAGCATTTCTTCTCATGGATGTAGCGAATTAATAGAAGGGATAGATTGCAGTCCGCGGGGAGGACAATCGGCGATTTTTGACTTTCTGACAGCTGAGATGAGTATTCAAGCCGAGATTTGCAACGGATCAACCTGTTGTCATCGATGAATGGGTTGTACTGATAGAGGGTGCTCTTAGGCTTGAGATTCCTGCAAGCGGAAGTTGTTTCCTCCGGGAAGTAGCTCCTCTGGATTAGTTTGATCAAATCCAGCCTGGCTGTTATCATTTCTTCTGAATCGATGAGATTCAAGGCGGTTTTCGGCCTGGCCGTACATTTTTGTTTCGTCTGTACTCTAGCTTTTGCCGATTGCGCTTTTGTTGCGAGTCGACGCATGAATGCCCAGAAGCGAATCGCTTTTAGCCAACAAGAGAAGCTTTCTTCGAAAAATATTTTTCTCGCATCGGGTTTCCCTGTCTGAAGCGCGACATGACACGTCGTTATGCTCTTTTTCATTTCGTGTTCGAGATGAGTTTGAGCGACGTGAATGTGAGACGTGCTATCGGATTCCAGTGCTGCTCGTAAGTCGTTGTTCTTCTCGCGAAGCCACTGGGGCCCATTGAACCAGCGCTCGGCAATCGATCGCTTTGAAATATCCGCTCCTCTGGATAGGATATCAGCTGGATTTTCCTCCGAGCGAACGTAATGCCAACTGGCCTGGCCAGCTAATTGGCGAATTTTTCGAATTCTGTTTGCGACAAACGGTTTCCATCTTTCCGAGTTCGAGGCGACCCAGCCAAGAACTGCCGAATTATCACAGAAGATGTTGACGGCGTCGATTTTGAAATCGATCCATTCGAGGATTTTCTTCGTCATTCTTGCTGCGAGAAGTGCTCCGAGCAGCTCTAGTCTGTGAATCGTGAATGCTTTCACTGGAGCGATTTTTGACTTTGAGAGAATGAATGTCACTGAGGGCGGGGCCGTCCCTTGTTCTTCTCGGATGTATGCAACGATGCCGTACGCCCGCAAACTGGCGTCGGAGAACATGAAAAGTTCTCTCCTGTCCCGGCTGCCCTGTGAAGGAAGCATGTGTCGAGGGATGGCAATGCCTTCAGCCTGACTGAGTAACTTTGAGAAATTCTCGTATTGTTCGAGAAGGTCCCCTTTCAGGGCGTCGTCCCATCCGATTTTCTTTTTCCATAATTCCTGGAGTAGCGATTTCGCGTTGACGACGATCGGGCTGATGATACCCAGTGGGTCGAAAATTTATGCCGTTGCTCTGAGAAGCTTCCTCTTTGATGGGACTCCCGTAGTGAGTTCCTTGAGTGCTTTTGACGATGGAGCGCTGAGTTCGTCCTGGATTTGATTCCATGGGACGCCAAGTACCTTATGGTCGGCCTGGCCGATCGTGATGGATGGATCATCGACCGGCGATGTTTGCTTGATGAATTTTCCGATTTCCGCGGAATTTGCTGACCATTTATTCAGCGGGAAGTGTCCGTCGGTGAAGATTTTTGTGAGGACCTTCACTCGGTGTTTCAACTCCTCTAGGGAGTCTGCTCCTCCCACGACGTCATCCATGTAGAAGTTATCTCGAATTTCTTCGATGAATTGTCGGTCCTCCGGGTGTTCTGGGAGTGCTGCCTCCAAGTGGAATCTGATTCCTTGGCAATGGAGGAAAGGCGAGCAGATGAGACCGAAGTCTAATCTTGTCGCCCAGAATTCTTGAACCCTTGCGGATCTGTCCTTGCTGATGTTAAGCGGCCAGAGAAACCTCAGGAATGTCCTGTCGCTGTCCGCAATTCTGAATTGCAAGAAAGCCTTCTCGATATCGGCGGTGAAGACGAATCGGTATTGGCGGAACTTCAAGATGACTTTTATTATTTCCGGTAGAAGGTTCAGGCCGCAGTGGAGGACGTCATTGAGTCCTGCTTGATTTGAGCGCCTGGCGCTAGCGTCTTTTACCACACGGGTTTTGAGACCCAGGGGAGCGTCTGGCTTCGCTTTGAAGACAGCTTGTGTAGGGAGATAGTGTGCGAGGCTACCTTTTTTCCTCGGCTGAGCTTTCTCGGCGAAGCCTGCTGCCAGATATCCCTTGATTTTGTTGTCTACCGCCTCCAATCTGATTGGGTCTCGTTTTAGTTTCTCGAGGAATGAGTGAAGGCGGGATTTTGCCAAGTTTTCGTTGTCGCCCAGAGCGTGTAGATTCGACTTGAAGGGTAGCTTCAGAATGTACCGTCCGTTCTCATCTCGGCGGGTGGATTCCTTGAAGTGTACGATTAGTTCTCGCATGAGGGAATCCTCTTCTTCTCGTTCTTCCTCCTTGAAATTTTCGTCGTACCCTGCGTCTTCCGATTGCCATAAAAACTGGAGGTCTCGCAGGGTTTGAGCTGCTTGACCGTTTCTGACGGCCTTCTCTTCGGGGTTTGTCTCTGGGACGATGAGGTGATCCTCTAGCGTGGATGATCGCGCCGGTTGAATCGTGTCGAAACCGCAAAACCGTGAGAGAGGACTCTCAATCGTGGTAGCTCCCTGGGAGCCGCCGAAAACCCATCCGAACATTGAATTGAAGGCGAAGACATCTCCGATAGCTTTAGGATCTGTGAAATTGATTTTTGTCAATTGATCCTGCCCCAAGAGGATGTCCACCAGTTGATCGTTGGTATGTGCGATTGAGTCGGCTACTGGCGTGAGGTTGAAGTCTTGTTCCATGACCGGGAACTCCGATCTTGAAATACAATCAAGCTCGATGGCTCTGAGCCGTAAACTTCTGTTTGCATGGTGTCTGCTTCTCAGGGTTACGTGGTCTACTCCACAATTCCGGATGTCCGTAATTTGTCCCCCTGCAGTTCCCATTGTGAGATCCAGGTGCGTGAAAGGTCTCGATTTCAATTTTTCGGTGAGAGCTCTTGTCACGTGAGAGGCTTGTGATCCTGGATCGATGAGAATCCGACATGGTACCTTTGTGGAACCTACTTCCGCCCATGCCGCCGCCGTCCACAGGAAAACTGAGTCGCCTAGAGTGTCCATGCCCATGTTGACTGATAAGTTTGCCTTCGGCTTGCCGCTGGTGTTCTTGGACGCCCTCGGGCAGATGATCGCGTAGTGGTTCGCGTTGCAGTAACGGCACTTGGTCTTCGGGCCTTCTCTGCAGTGTTTCGCATCGTGGTTAAGTTTCAGACATTTGAAGCAAGCTCT